TCATTAAGGTTTTTAAAATAACATTTCTCATAGTTACCCACAAGCAATACATGTCTATTTTATGCTTTCCCACTCAATGCACTTTGCATGCGAACCTTTATTCATAGTTCTCTGTGAAAGGCCTCTAGTAAATGGAACACAACAAACAGCTCTTGCATGTAATGTCATTCTTAATCTAAGGTTGAATGACTATGGGATCATTAGTGCATAGAATGAATTGTGTCCAGTAAGTTACAGTAATAGTGAGTAGTATGGACAGTGTTAAAAACGATATTCACAAAAACCTGCAGTCTCTCCCTACAATACTCTAAATATGATTTACCATCCCACAATATAAGTAACATGGGCTTCTTAAAAACAAACCCACAAAAAAACCCAGCCCAAAACCCCCAAAACAACCAAAAAAAGTACCAAACACAAAAAGGCATAGGTCTCCTGGAGACCAGACCTTGGCTATACTGTTGGAGTATATGCAGACACAGTTAAGCATGTAATTAAAGGTTCTGTAATGTTTTAAATTTCCTTTTAAAAAATGTCAGGATGATATGTTTTACTTTTTTGTTACCTGGAAAATAATAAAAATTGAAAGTGAAAAAAATCCCCTTACAGAAAACCTAATTATTTTTTCTCATAAAAATAATACTCACTCTAGGAAAACCCAACCAAAGTCTCTATATTTTAAGTCCCTGATTTAGTGAAAAGGTACAACTATTGGATTAACATTGAGAATAGGCTTAAGTACTTTGCTGAATAGAAATGGAAGTAAGCATATGTTTTAAATTCATCACATGCATACATGCCGTCTTAAACCAGAGCAAAGCAGCACTTGGCATAAGAGAAAACAATTTTCTGCAAGAAAAGTTAAACAAAGTCTTTAAATTTTAATGGGTCTGATTGACCTTTTATTTCATTATTATTTATAGCCTACATTATTCTTCATTGTCTTAAATTATTAATTTGTATCAAATTAATGGCAAAATGCTTGATGCCCTTGGACATATCTTGTATTTCTTCTAAAAAGCATTATTATTTTAATAATAGTTGAAAGTGTATTATGTTTCCTGAGTCATAGGTATCATATATCAAACCCAGAGCCCCATTTCTTTTTCCAAACTACATGCAGAAATTTGTAATTCCACTCCCAGCCCTCCATTTGTATTTTTGCATAATTTTTACACTAACCACAGAAAAGTGCCCGTAAAACAAATTGTAATGTCAAATTTCTGTGTTGGATAATCTGTGAGGAAACTGTCAGTTTTCTTCTGACATTTCTCAAGGGATTCCAATGTCACAAACTGCAAGGAGGGTTAGAATTATGGTATTAGCCTTCAAAGCTGATTATTAATGTGTAACGCTTATTTCATTTAAACTGGCATCCCGTGGAAGCTGACACATCCAACACCTGATCTTCAGTTACTTGCCCTAGTGATGGGAATAATTTATTGCAACCATGGAATATCTGGTATGTTGTCCTAAAAGGTGAAGGTGGAAAATCTCTCTTGGAGGAGTCATTGCTTACATTTTCAGTGACTTTAGACAGTTACATACATCTGCAAGTATTTATGAGTTACACATCCTGCTTTATATCAAAACTGCTGAGATACACTTTGAAATTTCTCCGAGTTGCACTGAAATTGAATTTTTGTCTACCTTCAGCGTTAGCACTAGATTATATATTTAAGCTACAATCCTTATTCAGGAATTGCAGCTGTTAAAATGTAGATCATGAAGGGATACTATGCATACTGCCTAACATTTTCACGCCATGGTCATCTAGTTAGCTGCTATAACCACATTCATGACACAAATGTTAAGAGGTGGGTTTATCTTTACCTTGATTTTAATTTTACCTTGATTTCATTCTGATTGTCAGGGGGAGTATTAGCTAGAGTAGCAGCCTTTTCATTGTGGTACTGTAACATGGTGTACAATGACACAAGACCCCTCCACGTCACCTGAAAGGCTCTAATACCATCCAAGTCTTCCTGGTCTGAGTATTAATGGCATTTTACCAGCGAAAGAACTGAATGTGAAGTGTGGTTTATGATGTCCTGGTGGGATCATGTCTTGTTCTAGAGCACAAAAATTTGACTTTCTGTTCCCTATGTAGGATGAAATATGAACCACATGCTAGAAACCACAAAGTATGGATAATAAAATTTATTCAAGTATTGTTTCAAAATAATATCGTTTCTGCACCTGATCATTTTACCTGAGTATGTTTTTTCTGTAATCAGTGTTAAATTTGTTACTTTTCCCTTTCATAGACAAGTCGATTTTTATTTTACTGTGGGAAAAAGTGAATAGAAAGCATTAAGACTTGAAAAATCTATTACATTTTAATTCTCAGTTTCTCTCTCCAATTACTTCTACAACTTTCTCTCTAAAAACTGGGATTTTTTTTCATTATTTAACTGACAAATAGTTCAGTTGAGATGCCAGAAGAGAAACTTTTTCACGGTAAATTTCATTTTTAATAACTGATTACCAAATAAATAACATCAGGCAGTCAGACTGCTTTTAGAAATCATTCCTTTACATTATATTTTATGACAGTGATGACTTTCTAGTTCTTTTGCACAGTTTCACAAGGATTTTCTTTCCTCCGTTCTTACTCTTTTTTTTTTTTTCCAACTGTTGACCCAAAGTGTTATGGTATTTAGCTTGGAAAAATATCTGGTATGTGATGTTTGAAAAGTATGGAATGGGGCTGAGATTTCGACACACAGCGAAATACTTCTTTATTGTTTGACATTTACCAAACAGCAGTGGGGGAATAGTTGCTACTGACGTGAAATTGAAGCTGATACAGCAGAAATATTCCTGCACTACCTGACTCTACCAGGATGATTATTTTCTGCTGCATCAGCTTTAACATTAGGCATTAATGTGCCAGGGTTAGGCCAACACAGGAGCTTCTGGAAAGGTGAGATTCTGAATGTATTGTTATCTCGCAGTTTTAGGATCATTACTTAAATTCTGTGTTGTTTTTGCTTGCTATTTTTATTTTGGGGTGTTTTTTCACTTCAAGTAGACATGAAGCACATGTCATATTTCCAGAATTGCATTCATGGTTATATCCCATTTTTATGGAAACTCTCTTACTAATGGAAATCCTACTTTTTGATCAGAAGTTGCAGCAAAATAGTCTGTATTATTTAGACAGATGAGAATGGAAGATGGGTACCTCAGCTTGGCTGAGCTGGGGATTAAGGAATGAATAATGCTTTGAAGGGCAGGAGCTCCTGACAAATTCAAGATTAACTGTTTTAAATTAAATGCATAGAAATATTCAATTATTCATCAGTGAGTGGGAATTAACAGCTCCACAACTTTCCCACTTTCCTTACTTTTTTTTTCTGTCCTTGGAAAAAGATATTTTTATTATTACTATATCTTACCAGTTTTCCATTCCATGCAATGGTCAGTATCTCTTCTGCTTCTTTCTTTGCTTCTTGTCTTTTATTTTTCAGGAGAGCATAGCTGTCATGAGTGAAGCTATGTGAAGAGAAGAGAACATTAGTTTTGCTTTGGCAGCAATTGCCCTTGATTGGGAAGAAAGAGATTTGTAGCCTGCAGGGTGGGATGGGTGGACGTAAGTGAGTGATCTGAAGGAGAGTGGGGAATACAGTATTGCAGAGAGCAGACACATAATTAGGTTTCTGAATCTCGCAAAAGCAGAACTTCCTAGGGACTGAACTGCATATGCTAGAACTCCTGATAATTACATGAGTGTAACCAACAGGAAAAACCCAAACCAAACCAAACCAAACCAAACCTGCTATAAAGACATAGGACTAAAAGGGGTACATATACTTAAATAAGGACTACCAGGACACTATTTTGTCTGGTCTAGACATATCAAGCTTTTTTCTGTGCAAATACTGAGTTATTCTAATAAATACCTGAAAAGTCAGGTCTAAGAAAATCTGATTTTATGGTTAAAAAGACTCTGGGACCTCTTCAAGAATGTTTTCTGTAAGGGAGAGATCCAGGCAGATCCTCCTCAAAATTCTGTGGTATATGGGGTCCTGTCACATGTAATTTTATGCCTCAAAACATTTGTGTTAGTATATTAGCAATGTGAACTTGAGATTACTTTACTAAACAGGTAGGTTGTATTTATCCTATATGTTGATATAATCAGCATTTCAGTAGACTTTTGAGTAAAACTGTTATACAGGTCAGGAACTGCTAGACTATCAAATGGTAACTAGTCACACACTTGATGGCTGGGTAGCATATTTTTTACTAAGCTTTCATAACCTTCTATTTGTCTTTTTATCCTCCCTCATCCTCACATTTTGTGGTATGTTTTTTTGTTAATATATAAATTTTAAAAATATTGTGCTCTCACTTGATATTTTAATCACACATTAATGGGATCTTTCGAGAAAGCTGGGACAAATGTAGCATTGTAAATGAAAATTTAAATTGTAAATTCATTCTCAGCCTTTAAAGCCTTATGCAGACAAATTAAGTTGCCAATATTCTTTTTATACTGATATTCTGTTAAATCCACTGCAGAAATCACATCTGCTCTGAAAACCATAATTGGGAATTCATTCCTAAACATACTTTTATGAACGAGAGTTATAAACATCTCAGAGCTACAAAGAGGAGATAACTCAGCATGATATATTTAACAACTACTGTAAAAAAATGTTTAAAGAGGGAAAATGCATTCCATGGCTCGATATCTATTTAATGTTGAGATAATTTGGAGAAAAGATAGTGGAATCTTCACTCCCTACTCCCACAGAAATTAAACAAGTGCAATTTTAGTGCATATTTTACTGATTCTTTTTGGGCAGTCCACACACAAAGATGATTTGTAGAAGCTCAGCGAATTTTTACTACTACCTCAGTGAGCAACCATAATTGTGTTTTATCCCTAATGAAGTCAATCAATTACAAAGGTATAACAAAGTTAAAGCTTGTCTCTAAGGACTTTTTTGTTTGCCTGTAGGGCTTATACTGTTTTCTGTGATTTTTTTAAGGATCATCTGTTTCAACTGGAATCGCACAAATTTGAGAGAGGACGAGGCAGGTGCCCTTTTGACCCCAGTTCTTCCTTCACCTCCATCTTAATTGGTAATGATCTTTATGTCACAAGCTTCACGGTCCTGTCAATCTGTCATTCTGAGTCTCTTCAGCACACCGAAGTGTTGTCAGCCTTCCATTGCAACCTTCCACATGTCAGACTTAATCCTCATGGTGCTGCCTACATTAATATTACATCCCAGGCAGCATTAACTCCAGCGAGGGTATCTCACTGAAGTGAGTAGATGTTATAAGACACATGCCATCCTGAAGAAGTAATTGATTGTTGCATAATTTTGGATATAATAATTTCCTGTTTTCCTTCAAAGCAAAGCAATATGTCCAGCTTAGTCTTTTACAGCGTTGAGACAAATACACAAAATGTATTGGTTTTTTTCTACAGAGACATAATCTGAGTGACAAGCATCTTGTAAAAACGTGAATTTAACTGGTTTTACATCAAGCATTTATTTTTTATATAAATTAAAGCTTTTGAGATCAAAATAGATTTTTTTTTGATGCTATCTTCTAACAAAACTAGCCAAAACTCATGATTCTCTGTTAGGAGAATTGATCTTATTCTCAACAGTTACAAAAATAGAATTCAGCCTAAGTCACGCAGTGCCAGAAAACTACACTGAGATAACGCTCCTCTGTGCCTTGCTGGTAAGTATATCACTGTAGGACTGAGTCCTTTGAAGTTGTAGTATAGCAAACCATATGTTTTTTCTTCAATAATGTTTTCCTGAAAACATTCTGTGAGATCAAGCAAACACAGTCTTGGCAATATTATAGTACACTGAACAAAAATAGACTGGAACAGCAGGTAAAAGGTGAAACTTAGAGGCACTTAGGGAGTAACGGAGTGATTTCTGTTTATAGAAAACATAAATAAGATGAAAACTGAGCAAGCACAAGAAATAGTTGTTAAAAGAAACAGCTAGAAAGAAAAGAGGTTAAAATCAAATCATTTTTTACATTTCAGAGATAAGTTAGAGGATTTTAGGACACTTTGATATTTACATTTGACCTCATATCTTAAAATCAGTCAGCTAAAATCTCTGATTATTAACTACAGTGACATAGCACACACGTGGTGGTGAGGAAGTATTGGTCATGAATGACAGTTGTATTTTTATGTGCTAGGTCTATTTGTTTCTACACATTAACAAATTACTTACAAGAAGAAGTTTCACCAGTAATGCCAAATCTTTCAAATTGCAGCAATTTATCAAAATATTGTTCATTCCCTTAAAAAAAATGCCAAAACACAGCTCAAATTCTTAAGAGTCAGTGGATTAAGAAGTCATGAAAGAATCAGAAAAAAATGCTGTATTTTGACTGACCTTCCAAAATCCATGAAGCACAGATTGTTACGCTTTTCTTCCACCCTTATTTCTAAATTGTTTCTACAGTTTTTAACAGATTCCAGTCTTAGCTCAGCCTGGGAACAAAGTCTCATCCCATGGAATTTGCTGTAGGCCTGAAACCTCATGGTCTAATCTTGAAGCCCTTCTCAACCTTTCTTTAGACAGAACTAAGTAAATAAATTAACCTGATCATGTTCCTACTGTGAGATCAATGTGAATTTTATTTTCTTAAATGGAAGCCAGATTGTCCCACTGAGCACTTCAAGACTCATGGTTAGACCTTGTGTTTCTGGCCTATTCATTACTTTGCCTGGATTATGGGAGGTCCTATGGATCCTCACAGTTTTATCTGAAAGACAAATCCATTAAACAATCTCTTCCTTGATAAATGTTGATCAGTGTCTTGGACATCCACACACAAAAGACTTATAAAACCACTCTTGCAAAGCTAACAATTCTGTAATGTGCCAAGATTAACAGGAGAAAATAATACATTTTTATCAAATCACTGATAGAACATTAAAAAATAGACAAAATTCCACCCCGTCATTCAAAACTAACATGACTTCAGAAGGATATTTAGAGACTCTTTTGCTAGGCCCCTACTGGGAATTCAATAATTTCAAGTGATCCCAGAATGGTATTTTAAAAGCATAAAAAAGTCTTCAAAGAGCTGCTTATTCCACCTCTGCAACTCACATTAACACAGCAGCCCACACCAGTGTAGCTATTGGCTAACAGTGATGATTAGACTAACAAGGAAACTTTAGATAACTCTGATAAAAGTTTAAAAGGTTCTAAAATCTTGATCTTGAAAGATTATTTGCACCATCACTAATTAGAACCAGATTTAGCTAGATTAATTTAGGAAGAAAATCTCTTGTTCTGTATCTCTTCATGTATTTCAACACATTAGTTAAAATACCCACTTCAAGGAATCAGTATTTCGTGACTTGGCTTTAAAACTAAATAACTATGCTATCATAAGTTTTATTACAGGTTATCTGACCCAGTGGTAAAGTAGCTTGTGATGAATTCCTCAATTTATGAACAATTAACTTTTAGCAATTTATTGTCAGCATCAGGAAATAGTATAGATTTGGATGGCAGACAGATTAAATAAAATGTATGTTGTTTAGATAAACTGCATATAAAACTTCTGGACCTAGATTTCTAATGAACTCTCCCATCTGCTTTCAATAGCTAAAACTATTTTTGATATCAGATCATGCACACTGATTAACTTAGACCACATTAGCTCTTGAAAGATGAGAAATTAGTTTATGTTTTGTTACCTGCAAGATATCACAAGCAAGTGGAGAAAAACCTAAACTACATTTAAATATGTTTTCTTATGCAGGGAATCTATTTTGATAATATTTTCTGGTTTTTAGAGTTTCACATGTTTGTGTCTTTTCTTTTACTCTAGAAAATGAACTAAAATAAACACGTATTCTCACAAAACAGAAGACAGAAACTTGAATCACAGGTAGACAATACAAATATACAGAGAAAGTTTACCAGTTAAGCAATAGGTTAATATTTTTTCCTAATGTGAGAAGTACCACCTACTAAAAATATGAATTGGCATCATGATTTCAGTTGTCTTGTGAGTAATAACTGGCTGACGGTCAAAGAAATGCATAAAAGGTGCTGCTTGCATTCTACTCATTACATTCTACTTTTTTATTCATAAAAGACCTAGTCCACTTTGTAGCAAGTGATATAATGGGGATTTTTTCACAAAAAGGACTACTGAGGAAAAAAAGCTTGTTTGCATTACCTTCCAGTTTGAAGCAGGTACAAAAAACTTGCCAATATGAAATGAAGCAAACCCATTTCTAAGGTGGAAGAAGCCCATTAGAAATCCCTTGTATATACTAAATTTTTAAAATTAGATTACATGTTTCAATCTGTTTTCCTTTAAGGGCTCTCATCTAGGAATTCTTGGGTTTAGAAGAAAATGTTTGCATTTGATTGTTCTGAGAAAAGGGTAAAAAATAAATTTATCTTTTAAGTGGTCCCAACTGGAGTATGATGTACTTGTTTGCTTGCAAAGAATGCTAGCTAAAACTTATGCATGTATCACTTGAGCGAGAACTGTTTTATGACGGCCATGGGGTTTTTTTGTTTGTTTAAATAAGGAAACAAGAAAGGTTCTATTCTTGCTTTAGCAAGATTAAGCAGGCTATGTTAAAACGTAAATTTTAGCAATTAATTTGTCAAATACACGTGAAGCTAAGGTTAGACTGGAAGAGGGGAGGAGTGGTGAAGTTTTGTGAAACTGATCAATTTTCAGTTGATTTTCAGCAGTTTATCAGCCTGATGTGCAGCAGTATAAAATCCTGCAACCAAGACAGAAGTGAGCTGCTATGTAGGAGTAGTTTTTCAATGGAGGAGAAAAGAGTAGAAATCTTGCCAGGATTTTTCAAACCTCAACCTCAGGTTGTCTCTAACTCTAGAATTAGTCAGCAACTGTAAAAATCTAGCAGTGTTCAAAATTTGTAACATGGATTTAAAGGATATGTAAAAAGGGTACTGAAGAAGGAAAGAGAAGATTCTTTTAATGTAAAAAATGCGAAAGATCTCAGAATTATATTGTTCTTGTGCGAAGATCTTTGCCAATCACACTCATCAGTATTTTCTCACTGATTTCCTTAGGCAAGGTGACCTGTCTGCTCACACTTAATACTTGTCTTATGTTTAGTTTAGTCACACTTTAGGGTAAAAAATTAATTTCTATACCTGTACAATATCTTTCCTGGAACAATATCCACACAGGACTGGAACTTCAGTTTTGTTCCCTGAGGATTTCACAGATAAAATCAGTGATAACTTCCTTGGTATATGGTAGAATAACATACCAGCAGGTTAGTTATATAAATATTGATATTTTATACCTATGTCAAACAGAAGGAATATGCTTCTGAAACAAACTTCTGAACATCTGGACTTATAAATTTCAATCCTGGGTACTAGCAATATGTGTTGAATCATTTATCCTGCACTGATGCGTTTTCCAAGAGTCACTTTGGTGTTGAAAGGATAAAAGCATCGTGTTTCGTATTACACGTCACCACAATTAAAAAAAAAAAAAAAAAGACCACCCAGTCTAAGATATTTTTCAAACAGAATTTTTAAATGGAGATTTCTGACTAACGTAATTCATTAATTAGGGCTGTGAAGATTGTTTGGAACATTATGCAGACACTAGCAAATTCTGTTGTTTAAGCAGCCCTGTGTTGTGTAAAAAATAAAGCTCTCCATAAGTTTTGGGTAACCTTAAGTTCTAGTGATGCTATAATTTACATTCACTTTTCATTTATCTTGCCAATATTTTACACTACGTTATCACCATGTATTTTACAAGGCAATATCCATCCTTTATACGGTGAAGCCTATGGCAAAACTCCACTCAGCTCTGAATCAGCGGAGGTCTCTGAACCAGCCTCAGCTAACAAACTACAAACAATTCTTCAGAATCGTTATTCCGACCTCTGGTACCATTCAATTCATATACATCTCTTAAGAGAAACAAAATCCACACTTCGAGGGAGACCAACAAGCAAAATTCTTGGTTTTGTTATAATCCTTTATAAATGCCAGCAAGTATATTTTTAATGGATCAGTCATGTTTATTTTGATTAAGGGGCAGAAAGATGTGTGACTGAAACCTCCACTCCAACTACCTATGAGCTGGAAATAATTTATTTCCCTCTTCTTGTACAGTTTATTTTCTAACTGCTGCATTATTTTCTAACATAAGGATGCCACCTAGTGACAATAACTGTACCCTCTTTAAATTGGACCTAAAAAAAATTGTAATCAAATTCCACAAGTATATGACAGATACTATTTTTAATGTTTGCTCAGTTAAGGGGAATTGCACCCATGTGTAACTAAAAGACAGAATTATTGCTGGTATTTCACTGAAGTAAAATATATCCAATATCACATTTTTAAATGATAGACATAGGCTGGGTTTTTGAACATATGTGTGATCCAGTTGTACCCAACTACATACAGATTTTCAACATCTATTGGCAATTGGTGTATTGTTTCTAATAATTTCTTATGCTTGCTTAATTTGTGAATGCCATTTAAACCCTTTGAAAAAGGGACAAAATTTCTGTTCCCATAAATTTTTCAGGAAATATTCATCACCTGTTGTGCGGGATGGATGAGAAGTTCTGTCCCTCATGTCCTGTCCCTAATCTGGTAAATATTTTAAGGACATGAAAACAAGGTATTGCTGGACCAGAGAAAAATAGGCTCTTTTTCTAAGTCCATGGAACACACAAGCCCCTCAGCCTGCAAGTAATACCCAAACTGTAGTTATTTCAGGTAAAGTGGAACAGCTCTAGGAGGCTGAGGAAAATTCCCTCAGCCCAATAAAATGTGCTTGTTTAAAGAAATTACTTCTCAGGTAGCAGGTACAGCTTCTTATCTCTCCAGATCAGGAGATAACTCCATCTCTAGTATTTTCAGTATGTGCTTCACTAAGGAATCTTTTTTTCAGCCATGTTTTGCAAAGAACCAAATCTGGTAACTATGCTCAGGAAACACTCCTTTCTTTGAGGAGCGATCTGTGGATTCAGGTATGGTTTAGCCTTGAGCTGTATCCATGCCATGTAGCTGAAATCAGTGGTTTGGGGCAGCTAACACTATTTTTTTACTTGGCACTACATCCTCTGAAACCTGCTGCTGCATTTTCATCCCATTTTCTGGCTCCTCTTAATTCTGGCTCCTCATAAACCCAGTATGTGCCTTCGAGTTCTGGGGCTGAGCAACTTGTTGCTTCTCACTAGCGAGACCAGGCCATGTCCAGAAGTGCTAAGAAGCAAACCACTGGTGAAAATTCAGGTGTTGTAGGTGTCTCTAGGGACAGGCCCTAACTGAATGATGGTGACATCTTTGAACTTAGGTGCCTGATGTGGCAGAAGTTATTGTGGCAGAGCTGGTTAGATGTTAATTTAATGTCTTCCTGTTTTGTGTGGGAATCTATCCCAAATGCAGTAAGTTAGTTTTGAAAATGAGACCAAGCCCATGAAATTCAAAATCCTTGTCCTCATGCTCTTCCAACTGCAAATGTTGCAGTGCTGGTAGGAACAATGTCCATATGCTCTTTAGACTCTGTGTATCTTACTGACTCACCTTCTTACCTGAATCTGAACAAACAATAATGAGCCATGTTTATAATGCAGGTCCTATCCTACATAATGAAATTAATAAGTAGAGCATTAACAAATTGTTTTGGTTTCTTTTTTTTTTTAATCTATGGTCTGCAGGTGGTGAACTTTTTACTGGTCTCTACAGTGACTACTGGGGAAGAGATGCTGCTTTGTTTCGAACCATGAACCGCATGGCCCATCTCCGAACTGAACCTGATAGTGAGCGCCTGTTGAAAGGTATGGGAAGAAGGAAGAACATGGAAACAGAGGTGTTTCAGGCAACAAGAGAATTTCTGTTTAACCAGTATTTAAAATGACACTGTTCATGCATAGGTATAGCCATTTGGAGATGAATTTGTTGAAACTATCTTTTTTTCCATAAAACTTATCACGAAACTCCTGCCAGGATGAACATATTGAAATCTTTACTTTGATTACATACTGGATTTTACAAGTAGAACTTTTACCTCCTTCATCTTTCACTTCTGGGGTTTTTTTTTAAATTTCTACTTTTCACTTATACTGCCAGATATAATTAAAATAATATTTTTAAATTCTCTATTTAATGAACAGGAACTTCTAATTAGAACACAGAGCTCTTTTTTTTTTAGATGAGATCATTTTGTTTTTATGTTGCAATAAAACTACTCAATCTTTGCCAAGTTGTGTAGTAAAAAGATGTCATGCAATAATGCAAAATAATAAACATACAATGATTGTACAGTTAAATGAGATAAAAAGTTAAAGGAGGTAATTTTAAGAAGAAAAGTTAAATATTCCACAAGAAAAATGTTCAGAAAAATCCTGTGCTGGGAAATTTAAAAATTGTTTCATAGTCTTCATTCTGAAATATAACTGAATTTTAAAGTGTTGAAATTTCTGTGAAATGGAGTCAGACTCTTGATTTGTTTTGCTCCAAAAGTATTGCAACTTTTCATCATAACAGTGACATCATTGCTGCTAATATTTGGCCAGGAGAGTCAATAAATGCCTTTTATGGTGATTCATACGGTGAGCATCATCTTTCCAATGGCAGTACATAGAAGTTTTTTCTTTCAAATTTCAAGGCAGTCTTCTCCGAGATCAGAAGAAATAAAGTGGCTCTGCTGCATACTTCTTCCTACACAGATCTGACCTCAGACTGAATGATTTTTTTCTTAATATATATTTAAAACATGCTTATATGTGCTTTAATTCCAATACTTAGAGCTTTGCTGAACCAAGTGTTTAAACTGGCTATACAAGGACAGAACAATGTGGATGTTCACAATATGCAAGTGAAGTTTCTTTTTTCTATGGAAGTTGTCGTTATTTTAAATACAGAATTCTCTAAATTGTGGTCTTAAACTTAGCTTTTCATTTTGTCTATACTTTAAATGTGCAGAAAGGGAATACTTTAAAATATGTATTAAAATCTCTTCAGAAAATTAGCAAGTGCTGTACCAATTTCTTAAAATGCAATGACTGTTTCCATAGGGAAGAAGTCAGAAAATACTTACATTGCACACTGCTCCTTAAGAAATCATACTATTTGTATGACTGACGTTCTCATTTAAAGAATGTGTAAAAATTTTTGCTACGATTCAGTGTGATGAATTCACATCTCTGCTTAGTGTGGGGTTAAAAGGTATACAGGCATGGACCGAAGTCTGAACTTACCGTTCAGCTTTGAAGCAAAATGTCCAAACAGGAAAAATTTAGAAGGTTTTTATTTCATGACAAAGATACACAACACATCTTCAATCTCTGAAGATATATGTTCATATAACATCTATTATAGTTCATATAACATCTGAACTACCACAGTTTTTTCTTTTCTAAAGGGCTGTTTGTCTAAAGTTGACATTACTATACCTGGTTTGCATGGGATCAGAGGTTATTATGTGAATATTAGTACCAGGTTTTAACCTAATCCAAATTAAGATATATAAACTACAGAGAACGGAATGGAAAAAGGTCTTTTTCTTGCACACATTAAAAGGAATATTGATTTGTGAACTGGAGCTATAAAAATAGTTTGACATTAATGTATTCCATATGGCCTATATATACTCACCCACAAAAAAGTAGATATTTTTCCTTTTTCTATCACCCTATTCCCCTTAGGTACCTCTCTGACAGACAGACCCATGATTCTTTAAGTTTAGTTTTTTCTTTGCTACCAGCTGATTTTAAGGATTGAATAAACAAAATCCTGTTTTAATAAACTTGAAGTCAATTCATTTTTGTTTTCTTTTAAAGAACCAAAATTTGTTGGCTCATACATGATTCCTGACAACGAAGACCATGATGATAACAAAGTATATTTCTTCTTTACTGAAAAAGCATTAGAGGCCGAGACAAGCACTCATGCCATATATACCAGAGTGGGACGCGTATGTGCGGTAAGATCGTTTTTCAGATTCCCTAGCTAAATTTAAAAAGAGGCATGCTCCTTCCTTTCTCCTTCTCCCCCAGGCAAATATGACATCTGTTAATGTACGTGAGAGCAACTTATATGTCTGAATGAAAATCCTACAACTAAACAGCTTCAAGCATTAGAAAATTCAAAAGCGATCCGGAATCTGGGCTTGAAGCTGAATTTTTCTGAGAGAGGAGGGCAAATTTCAGAAATCTTGTTATTCAACTCCATCTCTCTTTGTGCTGATATGTGGTAACAGTAATAGCAGTTGCCCACAGGACTCTTACCATCCATGTTCTCAATTCACCATCACCTGTACTGTTGGTTGTAGGCCCAGGGCCTCTTGCAGCTCTCACAGCTGACATAAACTGATGGCCCTTCACATTCCTGGCGGCAGGAGCAGCCTGGACACCAGTCCTCTCTGACATTCCCTCTTGCCTTCCTATTCTGTCAGCAAGGAGGAGACATCTCAGCTGCATCTGTTGGTAGATGGCTATCCTGTCAGACAGCTGGCTTTGCAGCCAGCTGGTCAGGACAAGAGGCAATGGGCACAGACTGAAACATATGAAAGTCTATCTGAACACAAGGAAAGATTTTTTTACTGGCAGGCGGGTTGAACACTTAGACAGGCACCCAAAGTCACCATTCTGGAAATGGTCAAAACTCAGCTGGACATGGGTCTGAGCAACTTGCCGAGCAGCTTGCTTAAAGCAAGCTTTGAGCAGGGCAGTTGGCCTTGACTATTTCCAGAAGTCCCTGCTAAATTCAACTACTCTGTGATCCTGTATGTTTTGAAAACCTTTTTCTGATACATGAATGATAGGAGGGGTGCAATGTCAACCATCTAAAGGGTGTTTTATAAAGAGTAGCTAACTACTTCTTTCATTTCATCTATCATTCTTCTCAACAGCAACCAAGGAAAACCATGCAGGTAGGAGCTGGAGCAAAGGACTGGATTTCCCAGCAAATTATTGTTGCAGCTAGACATAAGGTTTATCAGAAGGAGCAGAAAGTTTACAAGGACACACCTTGCTTTCCACCACTACCCCACACAATCACTCATTTCCCACTGAGGCCACATTGCTGAGGTTGATCCCATCCCTTCATGGCTCCCTGACCCTGTACACCGGGAGATCTCAGGCCGTGACTGGAAAGGAGCACGGTTAACATATAATCTGTTCCTTTTGCTATTAATTGCACTACAGTAAGGCTGATGAGAGGAGCTCTCCCATTCCCACTGGAACTACATCTGCTTAATTAAATGAAGGAATGAAAAGTTTATTTCCTAGCATCTGATTTTGTTTCCAAAAAAAAGTAATAAACATATTGCATTCTTCCCACCTAACTGTAGGGGATACACTCCTAAAACTACTGGGCAAAAAGCAAGATGCAAGTTAAAAATATTCTGTCACCTCAATGTATAGTATATGTCACATATGCTTACCAGCATACTACTTATTAAAATTCCTTAATAAATATTCATATATAACTTAAAACATCTGAAGTATGCAAAATACCAAATTGCAGCCTAAGAAATTAACATTCACAAAGCCAGTTGGCTTTCTGTATTCAAGCATGTATCAAGGGGGCCTACAAGGAAGCTGGGAGGGGACTTTTTAAAAGGGCCTGTAGTGACAGGACAAGGGGGAACGGGTTTAAACTGAAAGTGGGGAGGTTTAGATTAGATATCAGGAAGCAATTCTGCACAGAGAGGGTGGTGAGGCATTGGAACAGGTTGCCCAGAGAAGCTGTGGATGCCCCATCCCTGGAAGGGTTCAAGGCCAGGCTGCATGAGGCTTGGAGCAACCTGGTCTAGTGGAAGGTGTCCCTGCCCACGGCAGGGGGGTTGGAACTAGATGATCTTTAAGGTCCCTTCCAACCCAAACCGTTCTGTGATTCTATGATTCTAAGATCTGAAGTAGAATTCTTTGGCCTATGTTGTGGTAGATGTCTGAATAGATTATTTTAATAATTCCCTCCAGTCTGAAATATCCCCTTAAATGTCTTATCTCTAGCCATGGGTTAAACAAAAATCCCACAGAACTCTCTTCCATTTGTCCAAAATGCTTTATCATCCAGTCATTAATTTCAGATCCCTATGCTACAATGCAAATTTGACTTAATGAATACAAAAAAATAGCTAGCTGGTGATTCAAGAACTGCCTGTTTTTTCTTTCAGCATTAGGTTTTCTGAGCTGTAACAGGTTTTGCAATACAGAGCCATCTACTCTTTATATTTCTACTTTTCTGAGGAAGACACATCTCTGTTTTTGTATCTCAGTGTATCTCAGTTCTTAGTGCAAAGCTGAGGAAATCAATTAATTCCAGTGGTTTAAAGTTCAAGCCTAATACAGAGCCTTCAAAAGTCAGCTACCGTTTACCTGAATATAAGGCCATAGCTTTGAGGATGCTGCCCAAATTTTATGGAGTCCTTTTACTAAGAATTACTAAAAGCCCCTTTTTCTTGACAATCTGACAGTTGCAACAGCAAGAAAAAGATGAGACAGCCATAATAAAGAAGGAATAACTTACAGTTGTTGAGAAATTGTTAGAACACCATATAGACTCTTGCCTCAGACTTGCCCCAGCTGTATCAGCTCTATAGGTAGAATCAGGATTTCCAGTTTCAAAATGTGTTGAACTAACGCTGCACTGAGCTCCTAAAGCAAAGCTAAACTTTGGTAATGTACTCAGTACAATCAGTGAACAAAAATAAAAAATTAAAAAGCTTTACAACAGCTGTAGTTTTAAAACTGCCTATGGATGTGGTACAGCATCAAAAAATTCTTATAAACCCACAGATCTTAATCAGACCTGGACTTGATCAGTGCAATCCTATTTGAAAACTGACTCCAGAGAATTAATACTAATAATAGATATGTGGTTTGAAACTCCATACTTCTGACATTAAAAGATACAATGAGCAACGCGTTCAGCAGAGATGCTTGTGCTTCTAGACTTACTCATTCAAATTACCATCTGCATTTGTTTCTTTCTATGCAGAATGATATGGGAGGCCAGCGAATGCTTGTGAATAAATGGAGCACTTTCCTCAAAACCAGGCTAGTTTGTTCTGTGCCCGGGAGAAATGGAATTGATACACATTTTGATGAATTAGGTAAACATCCTATTCTCCTACAAACATAAAACCATCATGCAAAACGTACACTTTTGTGATAATACATTTTACTGTCAAATATTGTATTTGTATTCATTAACAGGGAAGGGTTGTTAGTGTTTTGTTTCCAATGTATATGAAGTTCTACACATAAGGAGATGACTATCATCAATTATGTATTTATTGCATCATTTTTACAGATTGTTTTTAAAACCTGCATAAAATTAAATAACATATCACCAATAACATTACTTTTTAAATTTACAGAGGATGTGTTTTTGCTGCAAACTCGTGATAACAAAAATCCAGTGATATTTGGCCTCTTCAACACCACAAGGTAAAAAAACTAGAATAACAGCAGCAATAGAAGAATATTTGAACAGCCTATTCAAGAAATAGAAGCTGCATGATAAATATCCCTCAGCAAATATATAGTGAATAGTTTAATCCCAGTTCTATTCACAGTAGGCTTCCTTGTTAATGTAAAAACTGCTCCACGACACTCAGGGGCTTGAAGTATCATTCAGTGATCCAGGCTATCTAGATCATAAATTAATTGAATGTTTATCTGCTTAAAAATTTCCTAGTGTCAAAGAATATGCACCCCTGCATGCTTATAAGAGCAGACTACCAGAGCCACCTATCTTTCTTTAAGAGCTCCACTGTAATTCAAGTTTAAGTAGATGGCAGCTTAAATTTCTACAAACTTTTTAGTGAAACCTAGAACACCAGCTGTGATGTTGCTGGTGGCCTCCTTTTCCACTGCAGTCTCGTTCAGGTGTAAGCACACAGCCCCTGTTTCTTGGAGATCTATCTGTTCGTTTAGGTTTAACTGGTAGAGAAGAGCAGCTGTGCTTTTCCCACTATTTCACTCTTCTGATTTATATTTTTGGAATAAAGTGAGGCAGATCTGGTCCTCTAAGGAGGCAGGCAACTATCATTTCCTACTGGCTCCCTATGCCAGTAGACAAAGGTGGGCACCTAATTAAAATTATCTGGGTCACCTTCTGGAGTGTTCAGAGATAATTTATTTGTGGGGAACACTGATGATTCTTTAAAAAATAATTAATTGCTACTTTGTAAGTATGTGAATAAAATTTAAAAATAAGAAAGATCCTTTTATGTGGATTGATCTACATAGAGTCATCTTGATCATCTAACTAATAACACCAACTAAAATTCCCACTCAGTATAAAAAGACTTCTGTTTATTGCAGTCAGCATTAGTTGATTCCCATCTTTCCAAAAGAACAACAGGAAAAATCTTAAAGAAGAAAAATGGTGAACTGTTTAAGTCACTAATCAAAGATATATAAGACCAGAGTTCAGTTTACTGCACTTTATCTGTGTTTATAAACAAGTAATTTAGAGCCTGTGTTCACCATCTTCAAATTTTGGCATAACAACATGGAGCTTCCTCAAAGAAATGTTATAAAAATAAATACATTAAAGACTTTAAAGAACACTGGACACAGCAGTTATAAGAAAAGTGTGTAGGAAATAATAAGTAGTTTTTTCTCCCTGAATACTGTTGATATGTGACTTATTTTTAATTACATACCAGTATTATATGCACAGAATATGACATATTGCTTTAATAATGTTTTTGAATTTTACTTCATAGCAATATATTTAGAGGATATGCTATATGTGTTTACCACATGGCAAGTGTCCGAGCAGCTTTCAATGGACCATATGCTCATAAAGAAGGACCTGAATACCACTGGGCTCTATATGAAGGAAAAGTACCTTATCCTAGACCTGGTTCAGTGAGTACAAGCTATTCTCCATTGCTTTGCTATAGTAGGAATAAAAAGCAGACTGCTGCTAACATCAGAATCTTCCTGACTTTCCAGTCCAGGATAAATGTAATTAAATATATACATCATACTGTGGCATTTCTGGAAAACTGTGGGATGGCAGTAAGTGTAATGAAGTACTAGAAGCATGTATTTCCCAAAAGAAAATCCTGTTTGGACTTGAACTTAGCAACCTTGTTTTAATGTCCTAAGGTCCCAAATCAGGATCCCAGGCAGTACAGGTAGAAAGAGGCAACTGTAAAAGATGGGTCAGATGCTGCATTCAGAAGCAGTAAGTTCACTACCTGGGAAGGAACCTCACTTTCTATTGAGACCAGAATAACTGTTGTCCCACATTTGGCTGCTGACATATTTTTTACATCTGAAACTTGATAATTTTAATCTAATTGCCAAAGCAAAACAATTAAAAATCAAATTTATTTAACTGCATTGAGTGAACCATTTTCTAATGGAACTTTCTGGAGAACACGTTGTCCCTAGTGATTTGACTCGGGAAAATAAAGCTAGGATGAACTAGAAAGAGGAACCTATATTTACATTAAAAATATATATATTTCAGACACATGCAATCTTTTCCAATGTAAATAAGATCCACTATTTCAGGATCAGATGGTTTTGGTTCCTTTTTTTTCATCTCTTTTTCAAAAAGGATCAAATTTCGATATTTCTGTAATTTAGATCAGCGTACAGGTTAGACATTAGACACAGATTTTAACAAAAGTAACTAATCAGAGTAAACATGTTTGTAGATAAGGAGTAAATACTTCATCACCTGAGGTCCTTCTCTCAAGACTGGTTCTTTCTAGAAGCAATGGTCTAGCATCCTCATAATTCATTGGTTTGCTTTCAGACATCCAAGAGTGAGATTTTGTTACCCTCAAGTAAGTTTCCTCAGCTTATTAACATTCTTGTTCTCTACTCTTTACTAACAATATAGAAATATTAAAATAATGTTGCAAAGAACCAAACTCAGCAAAATCACTCATGCTTTTCTCTAATTTTCACTCAAGTTTCTTTGCAAACTTCTTTTTTTTAATGGACATTAAGTGAAAGAAGGAAACGACATATTTTCACAATGCAACTAATCTGGCAAGTATTGTAGCACACTCTGCAACTATACAGGTGCCGTCATGTAGTGAGTTGTTCCTACTTGGTACTCAGATTTTTAATTTGGTAAACAAAAATTCTAGAGGAAATCACAGACTCATTACTTAACACAAAGAAATTTCTACAAGGAATTCCAAATTTCTCAAAGACATCACAAGTAATCTTCACTTCAAACCCTTTTCCTGATTCACTCTCTTTTTAGGTGTTTCTGAAGTTTCAGTCTCCTTCAACCTCAGCCCGGGACTGTCATGTCCCATCTCCCCGTGTGAGTAGGGCGGTGCCATGTTCACTGCCTGTCAGTGCAGGTTGAGGGGGTCCTTTGCATTGCAGGGCCCCGTCAGCATCTCACAGAAGCGGCACAACCAGGGCCTCCCTCACCTTCCCCTTCCTGCTGCACTCAAGTCAGGAGGAGCCCCACAGCAGGCAATGCCAGGATAACCCAGAGAAGCATCACATCCAGGATTTCTTCCTTGCCCCATACCTTTTGGGAATACAACTACTCATCCATGCACAGCAATTGTCATCTCTTGCAAAACTGCTTTTGTTTACACCTGCTGAAGATCCATTCCTTATGTCAGCATGGTGCAAATTTTTGACTCTGAGATGCAAAGACAGTTCTAATAGCAGTTTGGCTAAACCCCCATGGTTTTCACACTTCACCTCTTTATCTGCTCACAGGGTAGGGGCTTGCTCTCTTGAGTTTAACAGTGGAATAAACAGTTGCTGAAGCATGACTTTGAGAGTTGTTTTTCCTTTGCTAACAGAATCAATATTCTTTTTTATACTAAAAGCAATCATTTGCAGAAATAAACAGTGCATACTATTATCACCGAATCACAGGAAATGAGAGGTGAAAAGGCCTATTAGCTTATCTAGTCCATGCCACTACAGCCTTTCTCCCTGTAGTAGGATTTTGAATGCATTCTTTCATTTTAAATTAATGTTTTCCTCTGCTTCTCTTGGGGTTAGAGACATGAGTCAAAATACAGAAGTGGATACTCAAAACCAGAGATTATCTGGGATTTAAACATTATGAATACGATTTGACCATCTTGGCCAAAAAGCTACCACTGTAACAGTGTTGACATCAATACCAAATGGGTTTTCTTGGTTTTTTGATGTAGATCAAAGTAATTGGTGTTGAGTCAGGATAGAAAATCAGAGAAGTAGATTATGAAATTTTGAATAAAATGGTTGAATTCAAAGGAATTACTGGTTTCTTATTTAACATTGTGTATAGCAAATTTACAGGCCTTGCAGTTTTACCAAATAATGACACAGTACCATGCATGGATTGCAGAATGGATGTATAATTTACAAAGATATGTTCCAAGCTCTTTAAGTGGTATTATATTTTTTTCCAGGCAGTAGAACAACTGATATATGTTATCTGGACTAGTATTAAACACAGGCATGAATTCAGTATTAATGACTCCAGTCATTACATTGATATCTCCTAGCCCTGAAGATTCAATGGTGTTTTTCTGGCAAAAAGGAGAAAACACTGTGCCAGCACTTCAGCAAAGTCAGCAATGATTTACAGAAAGGCTGCCCTAAATTCTACTCGCTTTAGATGCTTCTCTCCTTGGGGTCTGAATGGCCACATTTGGGTCAGCCTGGATTTTACCCTCCCCTTCAGACAACGCATAGGAACTGAAACAGATATGAAAGAAGAGCAGAAGTAATTTGCCTGAAGTCATGAAACAAGTTAGTTGAGGAAACAGGTCTCTCCTGAATGTTAATCAATTAATCGTTTGTCTCTCTATGTTGCAGAGCACATCAGAGGCTGAAGTAGCTGGCTCTGCCAGCTAATGGAGGATTAATTGATTCATTTTTAGCTGCTCATTTAGGGCACAGTCTAGAGGTCTTTTCCAATACTTTTCCAGGAGCATGAAGAGGAAGCATGTTTCAGGCTGTAGCCCACAGTATTAGGTTTCACACTCCAAAGAGAAGGTTAGCATATTGGTAAACTGAATCCCACTACCTTTCCCATTACAGGAGTGACAGTGACAAGACGCCAAAAATAACCTACTATTAGGCATCTCTGAGAGTCAGCACTCTTTGATCTCAGCTATTGAATGGGTAAAGATGGAGTCTGTAACGAAGAAGAGTAGAGCTTAAAGCTAAATAAACAGAAGACCACAGTTAAGAGTTGCACAGGTTCTGACAGACTCTGCAATCCGCTGCTCTCTGAAGTTTGCTTGAAGCACTTGCTTCTGCCATAGTCTCTGCTCCTGTTTTACTGATTCTTTTAGTGCATTTAGACTGTGATACTTCTGGGAGTGACATCAGTTACCTCAAAAATGGTGTTGATAGACATCAGACTGCTGCATCCACTGTTTCCTTTCTATTCTACTTGATTTTATTTAATCTAAAATAAAAAGCCTGTGAAGGACTATTTTTATTAAATCTCTCCAGGGCTAGAACTTTGTAAAGGGAACCTGGCAGTGCCTATTCACTTGATATGCTGTGCAGTAAAACCTTTGTAAAGGGAGCCTATTCACTTGATATGCTGTGCAGTGCATGGAAGGCAGAGGCTTAGCCTGTCTTCATGCTCCAGCTCTGTCTCTTTATTGCAAACAGCTGGTGAAATTCCACCACTAGGTTGATTAGACAATTACTTTAAAGTCAACACTGAACAAATACTTTCCTGTAGCTAAGCCCAAAAAGTGGAAACAAACATTGCCCCACTTGACAAGTGCAGGAGTTTGTTATTGTCAATTACAGTTGACCACAAGTTTAAAATTACTGTTTCAGCAAACATAAAGAGTATTTTATTTCATTTTATTGATTGAAAAATCCAATTTAAATAGGGAAAGGCTGCTACTGTGGCTTTGCTTGAAATGCTTCTTAAAACCACACTGTCTTCTGAATATTTGGAGAAAGTAAATGGTTACTGAGATATTTCCAGCTTGATCATAAATGGTTTCAATTAGACATCATGAAGCAAATTGGAAATGTAGAATCTATGTTCAGTTAGGGAACACTATATCCTTCACAAAGCATCCTAAAATTAACTTTTCTGTTTAATGCATTAAATTATCCCTAATTGCACATTTGACTGAAGGAGTAGGCCTCTCTTAATCAACCATTAACATAAAGTCTATTTGCTTTACAAAACAGTAGATTGATCAATGCAAACATTGGTATTTCAAGCTAAACTGTGATATATAATACTGTCATTGTGAGTTACGAATTAGAATCAAATGTAATACTGTTACAATGGCTGAGATCAAAAATTACTGTTGCTGCTGTCATTATTTTTAAGTATGTTTATTTTCTTATGGCAATACATTTTGCAATCAAAAGTGTTAAGACCAGAGAGTGATTTCAAGCACTAGTATTCTGCTGAGTTTACATGGCTGTGTCTCTACTGTGATAGGAGATCCCTTTCTCCTAACTCTGTCAACGGCCATTTTGATTACATCTTCAGTATGAATCTGGGGAAGACATAAGCCCTATTTTTTTTAATGGAGAGCCACCCATGGTCAGTGAGGATCAGGTTCGGGAACACCTGAGCAACCTGAAGGTGCACAAGTCCATGGGACCTGATGGAATACATCTGCGGGTCCTGAAAGAACTGGTGGATTGAGTTGCAAAACCTCTATGCATCATATTTGAAAAGTCATGGCAGTCTGGTGAAGTTCCCACTGACTGGAAAAGGGGAAACATAACCCTCATTTTTAAAAAGGCACATAAAGAGGACCCGGGAAACTACAGGCCAGTCAGTCTCACCTCTGTGCCTGGCAAGGTCATGGAGCAGATCCTCCTGAAAACCATGCAAAGGCACATGGAGAATGAGGAGGTGATTGGTGACAGCCAGCATGGCTTCACCAAAGGCAGATTGTAATGAATATGGTGGCCTTCTACGATGGGGTCACGACCTTGATGGATAGAGGACGGGCAACTGATGTCATCTACCTGGACTTGTGCAAAGCCTTCGATACCGACCCACAAGACACCCATCCCTGGATGTCTTCCAGGCCAGGCTGCATGAGGCTTTGAGCAACCTGGTCTAGTGGAAGGTGTCCCTGCCCATGGCAGGGGGGTTGGAACTAGATGATCTTTAAGGTCCCTTCCAACCCAAACCATTCTATGATTTTTTTTTTTCCAAATCTTAAAGTGTCATTATTTATTCTGCTCTTCATATTCTGAAAGTAAGGAGCTCCCTCTCTCTCAACATGACACTGCCAAGGCTCTGTTTGGCATTCCCTTTCTTGGCTTCTCAAAATTAATAATCCATGCATGCACAAAGCATAGAACTCACTGTCCCAATTCCTACTGTGGTAGTCTGTGCCTGCTTTTATGCCAGGTTTTCTGTAGTCTTGTCATTATACCTGAAAACAAGACCTGTCTCTGACAACTTCTTTCATAAACCTTCAGGATAATCTATGTTTTATGATTTTGCAGTGTGCCAGCAAGGTGAATGGCGGTCTGTACACTACGACTAAAGACTACCCTGATGAAGCTGTCCATTTTGCCAGGAGTCATCCACTGATGTATCAGCCCATCAAGCCTGTTCATAAGAGACCAATACTAGTTAAAACAGATGGAAAGTACAATCTTAAACAAATAGCAGTGGACAGAGTGGAAGCTGAAGATGGGCAATATGATGTCTTGTTCATTGGTACAGGTAAATTAAAGAAAGCAAGGAAGGCAATTGATTTAATAGGACTTGTTTACCTCCAGATAAATGAAATTCTGTATAGTGCTAAAATAAAAAATCAACACAGCATTCCTTTTTAACAATGATTCTTTGCATGACTGTGCCAGTCTTCAGCTTACAGAGGAGGTTAGTCATTCTAGACATGTACTTTACTGTGCTGATAACATTATATAGAAAAGTAATGTTAGGGAAACATTTAAAGACTAGGAAGAGAAACTCAAGTATAGAATTCCATTCTTTTTTTTCCAGACAAGAACCTTAAATTAAATTCCTGAACATCTGGTCTTATTTTTAAAAATTCAGAACACAGTCATATGCCTGAGCATAGTTCTGAGCTGAGACCTAGACACCTGAGAAACAGAGGTAATATGACTTTAAAATCAGTCCAAGTTACTGGCTTTATTCCACAGTCCATTTTCCCATTGTGATTCTGGAGACCACAAGTCTAGCTGACACATTAAAAACAAACTACGACCCTGGTGGATAGAGGA